GTGGATCCCACAAACCCAGATCATCCAGGTATATTAAATACATATTATACCACCATTGACAGCAAGTCGACCCCACCCCAACTAACTGATTGGTTGGTCGTATCTTCTCAACCTGCTCGCACGGGACGCAAAAGCGGTTTTTGCCACCACTCGGACCGCCGAAGCCGAAGCGACCCGGGCCGGTGCTTCGGAAGGGAGACCATGGTTGGTGAAGAGTGCGCCTGGATTTTACCATTGTCGTTATGTTAAGGTTCACGGCGGTTTACAACTGCCCATCAATTCACCATGATTTGATGTATCACTCAAGCTTCACAACAAAACAATGATTCACCATATTTGACAATACTTACTAAGGGCAACATGTAGCATGTACTCTATTGGATTAGTGAACTCTTCCTGTTGCCAGATTCGAGCTGAATCCACGCCTGTGCATCCATGGACTGGTCGGGCTGCCTCAAACCGCTGCTTTTTTCAGTGGCCAACAAGACTAAATCTATATGCATTTTGCGACTGAAACACGTGCAACAAACCAACTGGTAGCCGCTCTCCGACATGTTTTCCCCAACAAAGACTACTCAACAAGGAAAAAGTCCGGGCATCTTTGCGTACAAAGACATTGCAGCACACCTCTGGGTAGGAAAGTCCGGTCTTGGTGGTTTTGGGTATATCTTGAGTATGTATCACCAGGGCCCCTGGATGATGCTTAGATTGCAGGCCTCTCAAAAAGTGATAATCTTTTGTATCAATCAAACCACTCCATGTATGGAACAAAATACTTCAAGCCTTATTGTTCCATATTTGTTCAAGCCACTCCATGTATGGAACAAGGGCGAACGAACAAGTGGTATACCCCGTATGACCCTCCATCACACCTGGTTCCGAGGGACTGCCAGTCCGGAGGATCGATCAAGATACCCAAACACTGACCGTATACGGATCCAAACAAATACAGTACCCTTTGCCAGGGGCCCCACACACCATCCAAAACCTGGTCGTGCCTAGCAAAACAACACGGCTTTATGTGAAAACTAAGTGAACACCTTGAGTTTTCATGGGTTTGAGGGCCGCTGGTGAGAGGGTTATTTAGCGACACTTGATGTAGCCTTGGAGGTCCAAGTACCAGAGATGTGGATCCCGAACGGGGAATTGGTCTGGAACCGAGGCCAGGGGGACGTCTTTGCCTGGAAAAACAGGGTTACACAAAGGGTCCATCGAATCTGTTCATATTCAGGTCGACTACCTACCACCCCCCCAACCAACCCCAAAACTGAAGGACAAACCTAGGGATCTTCGGTCTGAAAGGTCGGTTGTTCTCCACCGGACACGGCATGGACGTCCTACGTCCAACGTCACACGTGAGGTCCACGCGCGCGAGATCCCCTGGGTTGGTTTAAAACCACCAGGTCGGAGTGACCGTTTTCATCGGAGCCGTCATCGCCTTAGCCCACCAGCTCGGGGTAAGTGGACACCTGCGGACCTGGAATGTGAGATTCCGTCCTTTTTGTTGCCCGAAACTTCAAGATGCTGTTGTGCTTCCCCCACATGTTTGCTTCCTTTCAGAAGCTACATGGAGGTGCCAAAAAAAAAAACAAAAGGCAAGCTACTTTGACATCTTCTTTCACAGCAAATGGATCCTTTAAAAACAAATCTGTCTGCACCAGTGGTGAAAACGGCCATCCGAGACAGACTGGAAAATCGGAGGCAAATGCGGCAACAAATGGATACGATTTGTACAAAGCTCTTGGAGGCTTGGAAGCGCGGCAAGGAGAAACACGCTTTGAGCGAGGTGACAAGACTGCTGTAAACTGTTGCACTTCGTTCCACTTTCTTGTCACTTTCAGCTGCAAAGTCTGTGATTTGGGAGCTTCCGTCGACAAGGTCTCCGTGGTCGACAGCAGCCAAATCCCAGACTCTGCAGCGTTTTACCCCTAGGGCTCCTGGCCTACCTCCTGAGAAGACGCTTGGGGACCTTCGGAGATGGTTGGAGCCCTAGGGGCACTTTGCCACGTTTCTTGAACCAGCCATCGGTGACAAGGATACGGCAAAATTGTTTGTCTCTTCCAGATCTGCGGCAACTGTGCCGACAGCACAGCCAGCTAGTGTATACATCGGGTCTATCCAATTACCACCTGTAACAGTGGATGATGATGGGGCCTGGTTGCAGGACATCTCTAGTTATGTTCTTGAGAAACTGGCTGTTACATAAGCTGGAGCCGGCCTTGGCAATGTCCCCAAAAGACACGGCCTCAAGGCTCAAGACTTTGCTTGTTGGGTTCGGACCAACCCAATGTCTACAGCTTTCTGTCGAAAGGTCATCGGTCGGTCGTCCTCCGAGACTTCAACCCAGCGAACCATCGAACGCTGGGCGAGCAAAGCAACAAACGAACTTCAGTTGCATATATAAGCTTCTTCTGAGGCATGGTTTCAAACAACTTCAATGCGTTCCATGCTTCCAGCAACTGCCTCTACCTCCAGCAGGTAGGGATGGCGACATCGTAGCTCATGACAATTGGCTGCACCCATGGCCTCCAATAACTTCAATGTTTCCTGCCGCTGCCCATCCTTCTCACAGGTACCGATGGCTGCGCTGTAGCTAATCACATTGGGCAAAAAATTGGCCTGTGGCATGTCCTCTATCAACTTTAACGCTTCCTGCCACTGCCCACCCTGACATGCACTGATGGCTGCACAGTAGCTGATGACAGTTGGTTGCACTTTGCTGCTTGGCATAGCCTCAAACATCTTCAACGCTTCCTGCCACCGCCTGCCCTTCTCGCAAGCACTGATTGCTGCACTGAAGCTAATGACATCTGCCTGCACCTTCGCCTTTGGCATAACTTCTAACAGCTTCAATGCTTCCTGCCACCGGCCGCCCTTCTCGCACGCGCTGATTGCAGCATTGTAGCTGATGACGTTTGGCTGTACGCTGCCCTTTTGGATGGCATCAAACAACTTCAAGGCTTCCTGCCATTGCCCACCTTTTTCACAGGCACTGATGGCCGCACTGTAGCTGATGACATTTGGCTGCACTTTTACTTCTGGCATGGCCGCAAACAACTTCAATGCTTCCTGCCACTGCCCGCCCTTCTCGCAAACACTGATGGCTGCACTGTAGCTGAACACATCTGGCTGGACTTTGACCTCAGGCATGACCTCAAACAACCTCATTGCTTCTTGCCACTGAGCGCCCTTCTCACAGGCACTGATAGCAGCATTGTAGCTAATGACCGACTGTCTAACTTTTGCTTGTGGCATGGTCTCAAACAACTTCAATGCTCCGTGCCACTGCCCACCCTTCTCACAGGCACTGATTGCTGCATTGTAGCTGATGACGTCTGGCTGCATCTCTTCCTTTTGGATGACTTCAAATAGCTTTAATGCCTCCTGCCACTGCCCGCACTTTTCGCAGGCACTGATGGTCGCATTGTAGATGATGAGGTCTGGCTGCATTGTCGATTTCTGGATGCCCTCAAACAAAGTCAATGCTTCCTTCCATTGCCAGCCCTTCTCACATGCACTGATCGCTGCGCTGTAGCTGATGATGTCAGGCTGAATTCTAGCTTTTGGCAAGGCCTCGAACAATTTCAATGCTCCCTGCCACTGTCCACCCTTTTCG